GGATGCATCGATGTTGAGGTTATATTCTGATAACTGTGGTACTTCCTTAGGTTCGATATGCCTGTCGAACCCATTCTTGTTCATCAGCCCCCGAGACCCTTGGCTCCGATCACTTCTTTTATCGCCTTGTACAGGGTTACGTCTTGGTTCGTTACCCCTATGAACTCCACTATACGGCCGGTATCGATCCCTGATCGGCCTTGGTTCTTAGTTGATGTCCCTTTTAATAACAGACCCAGAACCCAACTGGTCATCTTCCACTCTACTCTTCGATTGATATCGATTGTGTACATCGGCCCAGGTAACAGCTGGGTACTCGATCAAATTCTACTTCAACCATCGTGAAGCCATCAAGCTTCGTTCGTTTAGACTTGAGTGAAAGCTTGAACAGCCCAATCATCTGTGACTGGTGGTAGATCCATTTGTTCCATTTGGAAACGAGATACGAATTCTTTTAGCATCTCGTTATCTTTTTATCTTACCTTGAGAAGGTCCGACTTCCTGGTCTCGACCTTTATGTCTCCAGCATGTGCTTTTACGAAAGAATCTGCAAGCATAGCAAAAGAATCGATAGAGTTAGGCGGTAAATTATGATACCATATCATTGCTCCCTTTGACAGAGTTTCACCAAATTTTTTCAATAATACATATTCGATCTCGTCATATTCTAGATCATTTTCTTTTGATGGAACATGTGTAAGAGGTGACGTGTTCGTTGGGGTCGGTCGTTCCATTATTTTAGGAATTTCGGGCATGCAAAACTTTTTAGGGATCGGTTTTGGAGCCGCGCTCGGGGAGAAAGGCTTTTGCACAAACTTTTTAGAATCCATGCCCTTCAATATCGGTGGTGCCCCCGGGATCTAATCAACCCTGGAGTTATAAGTTTCCATCTTTTGGTCATTTGCTTTGATCTTCCTTTCTCCTGATTCTATTCGTTTTGACAGTTCCTCGAGCATCTTAATAATTTCGGGATTAGTCCCCGATTCTTGTTCATTCGACCTCACTATAGATGGCCCCGTTTTGTGGGTGACTTCTCTGGGTGGACTGGGCTCGAGCCTGGTCGGTGCCTGGGTTTGGCTCTGTAACTAGGCTATTGCTACTTGTTGAGCTTGCAACATTTCGAAAATCATACGCAAGCTTATTCAGCTTTCCTCAGCGTTTTGGGTATTTCGAGCTGCAGATCGAGTTCCACCACGAATGTTATTTTCAAGGTCGGAACGTTGGTTTGCCTCGATGGCCACATGCGAATCATCGTCAATTGGACCTATGGCCCGAGCTCCAACAAGATCGACTGGTGGACTTTCATCCCCGTCGTCAGGTTGTTGTTCTCATCTTGAAGGCAGCTTCGTTGTTGATAGGTAGGGCCATTAATTGAGAATTCGTCGTTTTCAGCCTGAAATCAAAGACACTTCCAAGAGCAAGTGTAAAATAGCGTGTTTCACAGAGATTCGTACTAAATTACCACTATTATCCTTAGCCCCACGGTGGGCGCCAAACTGTTTATCCAAAAAACAGATAGAGTTAAATTTATACGTAGTTCTAAGGATACGTGGTATAGCTTGGTATGAATCAGAAAAGTAAATAGAAATATATTGAATATTGACTATATAAAGGAATGAAATACAAACCAAATTGAGTAGAGAATGATTTATAAACAAGCGAGATGAATCAATGTCCAAGCTCAAAAAAGGATAATCTCAACTATATATCAATGTAGTAATATTTAGAATGTAAGTGTATCAATGNATTTAGAATGTAAGTGCATCAATGTTTTCTTCTCTGGATGTTCAATCTGCCCTTACAGAAATGATACCACTCTTAATATAGTGGAAAAATCTTGCTTTGGATATATTAAAAAATACATAGTGGATATCTCATGATAGATTAATTAATTAGCTTTTCTTTAATTCCCACCGAAATTCTCCCCCTAAGTGCGGCTACAACGGCTCTTTGTCTCATAGCTCGATCTTGGTTGGTCTTGGTATTGATCGATCTCCGGATCTCGAGCTCGATATCGACTCGAGCTCGATATTGACTCGGGCTCGGTATTGACTCGAGCTCGATATTGACTTTGAGCTCGTTATTGGTCGGTCCCTGAACCTTGAGTTTGATAACCTGGCTTCGGATCTCATCTCGATATTATGAAGACGGTCTTTGGTCCATCATGTTCCAATTTTGACTAATTACACGAAGGGCAAAATCGATTTTGACCATATACACATGTATTTGGTAAATAGCAGCTTTTCTTTGGCACATACAGATAACTATATGAGTTTTTGTCAATTTTAAATACAAGGCCACCCTAACTGCAGAAATTTGAGTTGATTATTAAAAGTATTAATGTCAATAAGAAAAGCTTAAAGTTGCTGGAACTCCTATTTTCTGCCACAAAGGTGGAAAGATCTATCATAAAGTAAACCAGCAGAATAAGATAAAGATAGTTGACAGCCATAACTAAGCCTCAGTCCCAAACAAATTTGAGTCAGCTATATAATCATCACATCTTTCTTAAAGTTCAACTTATATCACTTGATATTACAAAATCTCCTGAAAGATTGCTGCAACAGCAACAGCGACAGCACGTACACCACAATCCCAACCTAGTTGATGCAACAGAGATAGTCATACCACAGTTCATTGTTTCTTCTCATGTATCTGCGTTCCTACTTTTTCCACTGCAACTAACTAGTCTGTTGAAGAATGTACCAGGTTGATGAATTATTCTGATACTACTAGTACAGCAGTTGCACCTGATTAGAATCAAAACAATCTTTTAGAGTTTGGGTCTTATTATATGTCCCATATTGAAGGAGGAAAGCTCATTTGTTGAGTATATATATGATTATACTTCTTCTAGCTCTTAAAGAGTTGAGAAGAAAGCAAACCTCGCACCGTCGTCGTCGTCGCTCGCTCGGCTTCGGTCAAATGATTTGATTGAGTAAATTTTTTGACCAAATTTATTTGTTAAACATTAATATTTAGTCCAAATCGACCTATTTGTATCCGTAATTTAAAGTTTTCCTCCGATTTTGCGTAAATAGCCATTTAACAGGAGTGTGATTTGCTAATGTTCTTTGAGTTCGTTGGTCACTGGGGTTTGAAGTACCGCTACACCAGTGAGGTTATCCGTTCTATCCTGGGAGGAAATAATCCTAAAACTCGGGTACTAGGAGGGGATTAAGTTTCTTAAGGAAACGCTGTGAATTCAATGGGCTCGGATTAATTTTTGTTCTTCTACATTTCTAATTTTTTCATTGCTACTGATTTTGAATATATTTTCGAATACAGAATATTAACAAAATTATATTAACCCAGCCCTTTCGAACTCTATATTTTGACCAGCACCAACAAAAAGAACAAAAGGACAAGAAAAGAAAATGTGACCATGCTTACTAAGAAACGAAATCTCCTAAGACAAGTTACTTAACCAATTGTGTGTAGAATGCATTAAGTAATTTTCCCCCGAATGTCAAAAGGGAAAGAAATTAAAAACAAGCAATTTTCTCAATATGTCAAACTCGTGAACGGCTCAACATTGTCTTCAGGTTGATCTCAAGGTTTTACGTATGTGGTAAAATACTAAAATTTATCATATCCATTAATTTTGTAGGTTGAATATGTTGGGTTTGCAAAAATTTCGCACATTAAAATTTAATATAAAAATTATATATAAAGTGTGAAAATACTCCTTTTAATATTTGTCTGCTTTAAAATTGTCAATATACGTGCATGTTTGCTCCAAAAGCGGGCAAATATTACTATGTTACCAGCATTTTCTGGTTCACTTATCCCAACAGAACTCAAATCTTTCCCAGGATAAATTAGAAATGAACTTAAAATATCATAAAATTTAAAAGAATGGGAGTTTCATATTTTTATCCTTGTGACTAGGATATTACTTCGATAGTAAAAGATATAAAGAAAATTATTACACTTATTAGCGAAGGTGGTGGAATGATTGAAATTACTTTATTCTTATCCAAAAGTCTCATGTTCAAATCTTGAAAAGAAAGAATTTTTTTATAAGAAATGATTTAACCTCCTAATAAGCTTACAAGACGTGAACTAGTGGACTTCAGATACCGTATGATTAAATAAGCAAAAAAAAAAAAAAAAGAGCTGGTTTGAACTCTAAAAAAAAAAGCACGATGTAGAGAAGCTGATCGAAGTGTCACTTCATGCTTGATCGTTCTAATATTACTCTGTAAATATCTTTTATGCCATTAGTATACAACTTAAACTCTTTTTAATTGATATAAACAAAAATATTTCGTTAATACAGTTTAAGCCTCTACTTTACATTTTTATTGTTCTTCGTCCATCATTCTTTCAATTTTGATTTATTTCTACGGAGTATTGCTGACATTGCTATCCGAGTTTAACTATCGAAATCTTCATTATTCTCAGTTTGCATGTCTTCTACGTTGTATTTCCTTTTGATACGACATATTGTAATTATATCTGAGTGATGGAATCAACAACAACATACCCAGTGTGATCTCATAAGTAGGGTTTGAGCAGGGGCGGGTATGGAGCTTAAAGTTATCGGGTTTAACTGAATCCAATATTTTTTACGCGGAGCATAAATTTACGAGTAAAAATCACTATATTGCAATAAATAATAGATATGAACTCATAACTTAAAAAATATAGTAGGTTCAATGCCAAAACAATTGATGGTTGAACCCATAGAACTTAAATCCTGGCTCCGGGTCCGAGGAACGTGCAATGTATCTTACTCCTACCTTGTGTGAGATAGAGAAACTGTTTCTGATAGACTCTCAGCTGAAGAAAAACTGTTTTATAGCAGGTTTGGAAAATACAAGAATAAAAAGATTAAGATGAAAATACTAGGGGTAAAAAAGAAAAGTATTGACAGCAAAATAATAAAGGTGATGCAACCAAGGACACAAAATATTAAGGAGTGAAAGACTTTAAAACGCTTTTCTAAAAGCAATATTTGTTTTCTCTCGTCTTCACGAGATCACTATGAAATTACATGCAAAAAACTTTTTTTAAGAAGTCAAAATTCAAATGACAGATAATAATATATGAAATATGCTAATTAATGCCTATTTCAGTTTTGTATTTCATCACAAGGGTAATCATCAATAGTTTTTTCCATCCTCAAATTTGTGACAACTTGATAATAAGCATTGTGTGCAGCCCGATTTTGTGCAATTATTTTCTTTCCACTAAACTTCCCCTTTCCAACAAATTTGCCATTAACATGAACTTCAACCTCTCCTCTTTCCTCCCATGAATCAACAAATTCTGCTTTCAATCCATTCTTTTGGCATAACTCGTTAATTTTCGTAACTGGATGAATCTCGAGTTTTCCTAGAGTAATTAGAGGCTGCAACAAATTTTTTACCACCTGTCATCAAAATACACATAGTGTTGTGTTAGCAATGTGCATACCGAATTTTCACCAAAGTGGTTCAACATATATATATATGTATATTTCTGCGAATGGGATTCAAATGAATCCCTTCTGCACCTCTAGCTTCGGCCATGCCCCCAAAGGTACAATGATAAGCTAGAAAAAGAATATTGTATGATATTTCAAAGTGAAAAAAGCTAAAGCACCTTCCAAGTTGTATCCATGGAGAAATTGCAATCAATATAGATTGCACCAATCAAAGATTCAACTATATCTGCAAGAACTTTAGGGGGGTCAATGAGACCTGTTGAATGCAATGGATACTCCATTATTGCATCTCTGAATTCTTCCACCTGTGGACACATCAAACTTTGTCACCAAAACTGTTTTTTTTTTTTAAAACAATTACTCTACTCTTGTATGTTACTGCAATAAACTCAAAAAACACGCGTTTCATATGAACTTATGTTTTGTCTTACATATATCAAACACTTCCGTACCTTCTCCTACTTTTTTTTATACCTAAGGTATTATATGCATCATTTCTTTAAAAGACTCGGTCCTCTTTTTGACCACACTTATTCATCAACTTTCCGTAACGAATGTTAACATGTACATGGAAGAAATTTCTATGCACCAACCAATACATAAATTTATATAGTATATAGTATTATTTTATTTTTTTCAAATTTACCGACCTACTAGTAGAACACAGTGGCGAAGCCACATGGTCACAAGGGTGGACAACTCTTCGTTGAAACATTGCACTGTGTATATAGGTAAAATATTACGTTTTAGAGGTATATAACACATATTGAACACCCTTTGTCGGGAATTTTTTTTACTTCTTTCAAATTTGAATACCCTTGGGAAAATTTCTAGCTTCGGCACCGGTAGAACATCATGAATGTAGAAACTAGTAAAGAAAAGGTACAAATCATGAACTGATTATTCTCTTGTACTTGAGCTAAAGGATATTTAATGAAATGAGTTTGTTGTTACTTACTTGTCCTTTAAGTAAAGGCTTCTTGTGACGTAAATAATCATGCAAATTATATTTGATGGCAACTCTAGCAAGTTTCTCAGTATCTACATTGGCAGCTCTCAACCTTGTGAGTTTCCCAAGAGGTAAATCTGGGTAATCCAAATAATGCTCCGTTGCTATCAACAGACTGAGAACAGCATCACCTACAAGAAGTGAATTCAAGATATAGATATAAGTGTAATCGCAGAAAGCAAAGTGAATACATAAAACTTTCTCTAGATCCGCTTCTTACCCATATACTCCAATCTCTCATATGAAGCACAGTTTTCTTCAAAGGAAGAATGAGTCAAAGCTTGTTGTAACAAATTAGGGTTCTTGAATTTGTATGCTATTATTTTCTCTACTTCCTCCACTGACCTCTCCAAAACAATTTGAGTTTCATCATTCAGTGTAATTTGGTTCATTTCTTCTGTTAAATGAAGGTTTTCTGATGATGAAGTATAAAGAGAGACAAGGTTTACCTCTTGTTTTGGATTTTCCATGGCTATATATGTCATATGAAGTAAGAAGTTTGAATTGGCCATCTTTTTTGGTAGGTTTATATAGAATATATTTTCATTGTAAAGATAATGACATGAAGTAGGGTGAGATGAGAACATAAGGAATTTTTTAAATTTTTTTCTTTAATTAGATTAGAAGATATCCTGATGGTGTGAACTGAAATCATGACGTTGAGGTTTCCTATTAATGTATAAATCATAAAATAAATTGTTAGTTGGTTAGATTCAAAAACCTAAACAATATCGGTATAGCAGTTGAATTTAGAAATCATATAGTACGTAGTATCTTTAGCTACGTGATTTGCGCGTGAACCATAATTTAATGAATATATAACTTTTAAATTTTTTTTTTTAAAAAGGCAGTTTGATATATAAAGCATCTTGCATTCATGCAAGATCCGAGAAAGGACATAACTTTTAAAATTATTTAACTATAATATTAAATATTGTGCATGTTAGCAGAGATGAGGATGTTGAGATGGATGTGCAGGCACACCAGGTTAGATAGGATTAGAAATGAGGTTATTCGCGATAAGGTGGGTGTGGCCTCTATTGAGGACAAGATACGAGAAATGCGGCTTAGGTGGTTTATTCATGTGAGGAGGAGGAGCACAGATACTCCGGTGAGGTGTGAGAGATTGACATTGGAGGGCCTACGAAGAGGTAGAGGTAGGCCAAAGAAGAGGTGGGGAGAGGTGATTAGGAAAGACATAGCGCAGCTTCAGCTGACCGAATACATGACCCTTGATAGGAAGGTATGGAGGTCGAGGATTAGGGTAGTAGAGTAGGTAGTCTAGAGTGTTCATAACAGTAGTATTGGCACGTAGTCTCACTTTCTGTAGGTAGTAGGTTTTAATGACTAACTGTTCTTTTCTTTCATTGTTGATCACCTTACTATCTTGTTGTTTTTATTCTGCTTTTATATGGCTTTTTGGTATTGACCCTTCTTGTCTGTATTTTCATTAATGTGATGCTTATGCTTTCCTCAACCGAGGGTCTATTGAAAACATCCCCTCTATCCTCACAAGGTAGGGGTAAGGTCTGCGTACACACTTGTGATGACTCAAAGTGTCATCTTAAGATTTAATAAGTAATTATGTGTTCTAAGACCTCGAAAAAAGCTATTTATCATTCCTCGACTTGCGTGAGCAGTCCGTAAAATTTTTCGGAAAGTTTTTATGTGAAAAATTGATTAAAATGTGGAATAGAGCCTTAAAACTCAATTAAGTTGACTTTGGTCAATATTTTGAGCAAACGGACCCAGATCAGTGTTTTGACAGCTCCGATAGGTCCGTATCGTGATTTGAAACTTGGGCTTATGCCCGAAATTTAATTTGGAGGTCCCTAGCTCAAGTTATGACCATTTAACGGAACTAGTAATTTAAAGGCTAAAGATTTTCAAGTTTGACCACGGGATTGACTTTTGATATCAGAGCCGGAATCTGATTCTGGAAATTGGAATAGCTCTGTTATGTTATTTAGGACTTGTGTGCCAAATTTAAAATTATTCCGGATTCATTTAATATGTTTTGGCACGAGATTTGCAAATTAAAAAGTTTAATAACTCAAAAGTTCGAATTGAGGTGTGAATTATAATTTCGATGCTATTTGATGTGATTTGAGACCCCGAGTAAGTCTGTATTATGTTTTAGAACTTGTTGGTATATTTGGTTGAGGTCCCGGGGGGCCTGGGTGAGTTTCGGAGGGTTAACGGATCAAATTTAGACTTAAGAAAAAATCTAAAATTTTGGCTTTCTGGTGTAATCGCACCTGCGGTCAATTTTTCGCAGATGCGGTCAAATTTCTGCAGAAGCGGAAATGCTGGACAGAACACATAAAATCGGGTTTTAGATATTTTTACTCATTTTTGAGTTTTGAGTCTCGGATTTTGGCGACTCCAAAGAGATTTTTCACAACTTTGAATTGGGTAAGTGTTCTATAACCAAAAGTGATTATATTTCATAAATCCATGTCAATATTCATCATTTATTTCGGATTTAGATGGAAGAAATTGAAACTTTTGTAAAACTTTTCAAAAATAAAAATTTAAGATTTGAAGGTCCATTTGACATCGGAATCGGATAATTTTTATATGGGTGAACTCGTAGCGGAACGGGTATTCGGATTTAGCAAGTTTTTTTGGGATTTGAGATGTGGGTCCCACTGTCGAATATTTAAATGAATTTCGAATTTTTATCAGAAAAATTAGTAAATCCATATGGAATTAATTCCTATGATTCGTATTGAATATATCAAATTGTTTGTGAATAGATTTGAAACTTTTGGAGAAGAATTCAAAAGAAAAAGTTGTGGCCGGGTAATTAATTGAAATTGCAAGCGAGGTAAGTGTCGTGGTTAACCTTGACTTGAGGGAATAGAACCCTTAAATTATTTGCTATGTGAAATGCATGTGAACGACATATAGGCGAGGTGACGAGTGTCTATACGTCGTCAAATTAATTGTTTGTATAATTATTTAAAAATCTTAAATTTATTTTAATACACGAATTAATTATTATAATAATTATTTTCCTCCTATTCTTTGTCAAATATTAATTCTTGAATTCTTGCAAGAATTGCTATATGCTTATTTGATTTATGTGCATTAATTGCTACTTGACATTTAGCATATTAAATATTAAAGTGCCTATTTTCTCCCTGATTTGCATAATAAATTGCTATTTATTATTGTTTATTTCATAATTAAATCATAATTATTGTATGCTTGTTGTCTTATAATTTTATATTAATTATTGTATTTATTGGACAATTTCTTCTATATTAATTGGTAAATGAATATATTGGAGGAGCGGGTTGTACGCCGCAACAGAATTGATTGAAATGAATATATTGGAGGAGCGGGTTGCACATCACAACAAAATTGATTAAAATGAATATATTAGAGGAGCGGGTTACACGCCGCAAAAGAATTGATTGAAATGAATATATTGGGAGATCGGGTTACACACCGCAACAGACTTATTAAAAGTCCATATTAGGGAATCGGGTTGCACGCCGCAACAGACTTATTTAAAAGTCTATATATACTTGATTACAATAAATATATGAAAGGATTGAAAATGAATATGTTGTGGGAGCGGGTTGCACGCTGCAACGGAAATTGATTGAAATAATAATAATTGGTTATGACTGCTGAGTTGGCTTCAACTATAAGAAATGAGTTACCTGATTTAATTCTATTATTGTAGTTATTACTATTATTGCGTACAGGTTGATGTAAGTGACCTGCCTTAGCCTCGTCACTACATCGTCGAGGTTAGGCTCGGCACTTACCAGTACATGGGGTCGGTTGTACTGATACTACACTCTGCACTTCTTGTGCAGATTTTGGAGTTGGTCCCAGCGGCGTACTGTAGATTTGCCCGGATGCAGCTACCAATGGAGACTTGAGGTATAACTGCACAGCGTTCGCAGTTCTGAAGTCTCTTTCTATCTTGTCTCAGTTGTGTATTATATTTCAAATAGCTTGAATTTTATTCAGACCTTTATTTGTATTATTCTAGAAGCTCGTGCACTTGTGACTCCAGTTCTGAGATGGTATTTAGATATCGCGATTATTATGGATTATTCACTTTATTTCAGACTTTATTTTCGCAACTGTTTTCTTGTTATTAATTAATTTAAAATTTTGTTAAAATGGATAATTATATTCTAACGTTAGCTTGCCTAGCAAGTGAAATGTTAGGCGCCATTACGGTCCCAAAGGTGAGAATTTCGGGTCGTGACAGTTTATATCAGAGCACTAGGTTACATAGGTCTCACGAGTCACGAGCAAGCTTAGTAGAGTTTGAAGGATCGGTACGGAGATGTCTGTACTTATCTCTCAGAGGCTATGAAGTTTAGGAACAATACTACTTCTCTCATTCCTTATCGTGCGGCATTGATTTAGCTTGAAACACATATCTCGTATTCCTTTGTATCCACTCGTGTATGACATTGTGCACTCGGTATCAGTTGTGCATCGACGGTTCGTGATGCCGCAGATGGACTATGAGGGAGCCAGAGATGCTCAAACATTGCCTCAACATGTGGTTCCGACTGAAGATGCGGACGTATTCAGAGATCATCCAATGAATCATGTCAGGGTACAACGGACCTTGGCATCTAGTTGACTTATACGAGCTATGAAGGATAATATTGTGGATCATCGGACGTGGTAAATTATGACTTCGCGTCGAGTGGGGGAGTCCACTATCAACGGATGGATTGCGAGGTCATGTGTTATATCAGTTTAGGCCTGAAATGTATATATGTAGTACTGAAAGGTTCTCCAAAATTTACACATGTTTAAGGCCTGAGATTTTGTAGAGGATAAGGTTGGAACTTGCGGTACGTCTGCCTACTTAATAATACTATACTTCAATACCAAAGGAATTAGAGAAATAACTTTAAATTTACAGAAGGTCTACTCAGCGTGGACGTCATGGTTACGGATTTTGGGGTGCTTCGGAGGAAGTACAGTGGTTGACGAGATTCTGGACTATGTGGTTCGTGCCAAGATTTGTCTGTAGGGGGCTCTACTTGTGTGATTGTTGTGTATAAATAGGGGTAAGGGTTACCTCTTAGAAGAATCGAAGAGTGTGTTAAGAAATGGGTCAGCTCAATAGTGTTGGGCCAGCATAACAAAAGAAGAAATTGGCCTTGGGAGAGATAATTCTCCACAGGTGTCCGTGGCAAGCCTATGAATGCAACACCGCCCACTTGGCTCAGTTCTTAGAAACGCGTTTGAAAGAGTTTGTTCTCGGACTCTCCGTAATGCGTAGCACATAGGGTTTGAACGGTTGCGTCAAGTCACCATGACGGTGTCATAATATGCCATCAGGTTCAATAAGTTAGCCTGTCATATTCCTACTTTGCTTCCTACAACCAGAGAACGAGTCTACAAACTAATTAAAGGACTCAATTATAATCATAAAATTTTGTACGACTCGGGAGCTAAAGGCTGATACTT